ACATGAACATATAGTATATATTACAAACTAGTTCTTAAAAGATGTTAAGATATGAATAAGATCAAATAAACAACTAGCAGTTTGAGGTGAAAGGTGAAAAAGAGAAAGAGAAAGAAAAGAGGAAGAAAGTGCAGTAACAGGGTTTAATTAATGCGTGAGGACCACAAGTACCCCGTTGAAAGTTGGGGACTTTTGGTTAACTGGAACACTTGGTGTCGTACATCCATAGTTCGTTTCTCTTTACCCTTTTTTCGGTCTGTTTTGAGTGCTGGCGTAATGGAGGTCCGGAGTAGAGGCTCTGGCATTCCTTGGCTTGGTCTCGTTATCGTGTGACTAACGAGTTTAATTGTCGCGTGTGAGTGGTCTGGCTTGTTCGCTGGTTCTGGGTCGACGAGTGAGGGGGGTGTCATCATCGATAGAGAATGGTTGTTTTTTTCTTTTCTCTCTGTATCTTTCTCTCTCTCTCTCTCTCTCTCTCTCTCTCTCTCTCTCTCTCTCTCTCTCTCTCTCTCTCTCTCTCTCTCTCTCTCTCTCTCTCTCTGTAGATAAGGGTGGGGATAACCTGCGTTACCACATCCTTTTGAGATGTAACCTTTTGTCTCAATAAACTTGTCAAAGTCAAAAAAGTCTCTCTCTTCTCTCTCTCTCTTCCTCTCTCTCTCTCTCTCTCTCTCTCTCTCTCTCTCTCTCTCTCTCTCTCTCTCTCTCTCTCTCTCTCTCTCTCTCTCTCTCTCTCTCTCTCCTCTCTTATCCTTCTCACTCTCCCTCTCTCCTCTCTCTCTCTCTCTTCTCTCTCTCTCTCTCTCTCTCTCTCTCTCTTCTCTCTCTCTCTCTCTCTCTCTCTCTCTCTCTCTCTCTCTCTCTCTCTCTATCTATCTCTTTCTCTCTGTCTCTTTCCCTCCCTCTCCCTCCCCCTCCTCCACTCTCCACCTCCTTCCCACTCTTTCACTCACCCTATCTCACACACTACTCACTCCTCCATTGTTCTAACTCATCCCACCCCTCCTCCTCTTCCCCCACCTCCACCCACCCCCCTGACCCACTTCCACCCTGACTCCCCCCACCTCATGGCCTACCCTGCCCTCCCTTGCCCTGCCCGCTTGCACCTCCGCCCCCCCCCTCTCTCTCTCTCTCTCGCTCACACACAGTATCCGTGTCCCGGGTCGGGTCGCTTCCACGCTGCGAGGCTGGCTAGTCTCGTGCTCGTGTGGCTGGGCTGCAGGTCGCGCTGTTCGCTTGCTCGCTGGCCCGTCTGGTGGAACTGCTTTTGTTTACATCGGCGCTCTCACGGGGTAAAGGACGGAAGGAAGGAAGGAAGGAAGGAAAGAAGGAAATAAAGAGGAAGGAGGTTTTTGCGTGGAGCGACGCGCGCGGTCCGAGGAGTGTTGTTGTTGTTATTGTTTTTATGCGTGGGAGTGGGAGTGCTGTGTGGATAATGAGGGGTAATTTAGTTTCGTTTTTAAAAATCATATGCGTGTATGTTTATTTGGATTTGGCGTATTGTCATTTTCGTCGGTGAAAAATAACGATTTGTGGCTTTAGTGGCGGACTTATTCAGACTTGGAGAGTGATACGATAATATTGAATGACCTCGTCCAATAGAAGCCTTCGTTGTTGCAGTCGTTTTAATAAGTGAAAGAGAAGCTGTGACCTTGGATAGGGCCCGGTGAATGACCCAAGGCCGATACACATAGCAACCTACGGGACTGCCAAACACTTCCACACTTCCTCATCCCCCCACCCCTCGCTTTTACTTCTCACTCCCCTTCCCTCTCCTATTCCTATCTATCAGCTGTTTCCTACTGTCTCCCTCCTACTCATCCCATTTATTTTCCCCTTTCTTTTTCTCAGTCTTTTCCTTCTTATTTTCCCTACTTCTCAATCCCCCTCCACCCTCTTCTCCTTGTTCCTGAGCTCCCTCCCGCTGCTCTTCGTCTCAGCTTCTTCCGCCCTACTCCTCCTACGTCTCGGCTCCCATCCTGTCTCTCCTACCTAGTTCTCAGACCCTTCCTCTCTTCTCCTCTTCTCAGCTCCTCCCCTTCCTCCTCCTCAGCTTCTTCCTCCCCTTCCTCCTCCTGCTTCTCCTCAGCCCCCACCTTCACTCCCCTCCCCACTTCTCAGCCCACTACTCCCTCTCCCCGTCCCCATTTTCAGGCCCTCCTAACCCCCAACTCCCGAGTCCCCAACTCCCCGGGGGCTTGCGTTATGTTCGTGACACCACCACATGACCGGGGGAAAAAGGTTGATGATGGCAGGTGTGCACGTGGCAGCTGGTCAAAACAGGTGAGGGGAAAAGGGGGGGTGGGTGAGTACTCCCGCGTGTTGGGAGAAGAGGGGAGAAGGAGAGACGTGGAAGAGGGGAGAAGGGGAGACGTGGAAAAGGGGAGTTGAGAGACAGAAGGACAGGAGGGGAGAGGGAGAGAGACTGGAAAAGCGAGAGGAGAGACCGAGGCAGAGGGGAAAAGGGAAAGAAAAACCGAGGGAAGAGGACCTTTTTTTTGCCAGGATTAAGGTTGGTGAACCATACGTAGAGAAATATGTTCGCTCGTAGAAATGTACGGAGGCCGGGTCGGTATTTCACGCGCTGTCGGAAACGGCCTTGGGGTTGTGTATGCGTATCGGATGCACGTACATAGTCTCGCATTACAGACGCGGCGAAAGCATGCGTGTGCACACCGTAGAGTTTCGGTGGGCGTGCTTTTGGGACGGTCGATGCGAAGAGTCGCTATGTATATGACATGCCTCTCCGTGAAGTTTTTATGAATGCGGATGTATGCGGTGGTTTGGAAGAACGGAAAACATACGGCGATCCAAGAGAACGAATGTGAAAGACGAATGTGAGAGACGAGGAGGCGAAGAAGGAATGAGAGAAGCGATGAGAGAAGCGAACATCCTGGTGTAGAAAGTTGTGCATCGGAGGCAGCGTAAGGCGCGCAAGGCAGGTTGTGCAACGTCTCGGGTGCAGATCAGCTGAATAAGTCTCCATTTCGCGTGGCATCTGACTCCATCCTTCCCTTTGTCTCCTCCTCGGTGCCGCTTGGGGGTCGCGCGCCTGCTGGGGGTGGGGGGTGGGGGTGGAGAGCTGCCTGCTGGGGGCGCTTCGGCGGCTCTTTAATGCTGGTGTTAGTGTGGGTGTTTTACATGTGCATGCCATAACATAAGTGCACACACACGGGCGTATCTACATGTATATTCGCGGACACGTAGATATACATATAGATACAAAGAAGCATACATATGGATACACATATAGATACAAAGTAGAAAGTATACAGAGTGCGACAGAGACAGACAGAGGTAACTGTAACAATGCACTGTTCAAGTGCAATGAAATGCAGTAATTTTGTTTTGCAATGGATCAAGTGTTTCCCCCAAGCATTATGATGAAGTGCAGGTCAAAGGTCAAAGTATTTTAGTTACAAAGCATTGTGTTATTTCATTTTGCGTCGCCTTTTGTGAGCGACAGCGGATCGAGTAATTAATCGGGTTTTAGCATCGGCCGCGTATCATTTTCCGCCATGAGCAGATGAGTTCGCATCCCCATGCCCCCCTCCCGACCCCCACCGTCCTCGCCCCCATCCCGCCCCCTGCCCCTTCCTTCGCTCTCCCCCTGCCCCCCTCCCTCCTAGTCCCCATCCCCGCACCGCCAGGCCTTCATGACAGCTGACTAGGATGTGCTTCTTGTGTAATGGAGAGTTTTGTTCGTATAGTGATTTGGAAGTGAGTCAAAAGCTGTTCGTATTGCAAAATAATGGTATGATGAAGGGTGTTGTTTGTATAGTGGATTAGAGGTTAATTAAAGGTATTGTTCGTATAGTGAATGAAAGATTAAGTAAGAATGTTCCTATCGTGAATTAGTAGTGCAATTAATTAGGATTGTCCCTCGTATAGTGAATTAGAAGTTATTGTTCCTACGGTGATGAAGGTTTCTCGTTCGTATAGTGAATTAGAGAGAAGATTGTTTGCAAGAATAGCCAGGCTGAGGGGGCGTAGGGACGATACATTTACCCAGGGAAGGATATCCGATCTACGGGGGAAAGGGGGCGGGGTCGAGTGATGAGGGAGGAGGGGAGGGGTGAGGAGGGGGGAGGGAAGGGGCGTGGTTATCTCTAGGTCACGTGCGATGAGTATGTGGTGGTGATGATGGGGGTGGGGGTGGGGGTGGGGTTGGTAAAGGGTAGAGTATGTGGTAGTATTTAGGCTTAGGTTTATTGATTCGTGAATGGGATAGGCGGTGGAGTGCGCGTCTGGGGAATGGGGTGAAGAGGCACTGCTATCGGAAGGCTTGGCGGGGGTCGGGGCTGTTGGCCTGTGAATGGCGTGCGGAGGGCGGTTTCTGCCGGTCTTCTCTGTCACGTTCTGTTTCCTTTTTTTTTTTTTTTTGCTTTTCTCTTTTTCTCTTTCTTTCTTTCTTTCTTTTCTTTCTTTCTTTCTTTTCTTTCTTTCTTTCTTCTTTCTCTCTCTCTCTCTCTCTCTCTCTCTCTCTCTCTCTCTCTCTCTCTCTCTCTCTCTCTCTCTCTCTCTCTCTCTCTCTCTCTCTTCCTCTCTTTATATGCACGCGCGCGCACGCGCACGCACACACACACACACACACACACACACACACACACACACACACACACACACACACACACACACACACACACACAACACACACACACACACACACACACACACACACACACACACACACACACACACACACACACAGATATATATGGTGTCCACAAGAATTTCCTGAATTGAAACAGGTATAACATGTAGCTTTAATGTAATGATCTTTCACAGTTAGCAGGTTGAGGTCCAGTATTTAATTCAGTTTCACGTGGTTTTGGAACATTAAAAGACTCTCAGTGTGCGACCCCTCTGGTTGCTCGGAAAACATCGACGCGACAGTCCAGTTCGGTCCAGATACTCTACAGTATAGCTGGTTATTTTGCGTACAGTCTCCGTGGTCGAAATATTCAGCTGTTCCAGGGTTACAGGTAGTGGTGGCACGTAGACTGTGCTCTTCACGTACCCCCAAAGAAAGAAGTCAAAAGCAGTTAGGTCCGGTGACCAGAACACCTGATCTTCTCGTTCAGCACGACCAATCCATCTGTTTGGCAGGTGCTCGTTGAGTGATCTCTTGACAGCAAGATGCCAGTGCGGCGAAGCACCATCTTGCTGGGAAAGGTTGTCATTACCCTCAGGAGTTAGTCGTGGAAACGTCCAGTTGGTCGGCATTCCCAGGTAACTTTGACCAGTAAGAGTTCCTCTCTCAGCGAAAACAGGCCATGCAATGTCTTATTTGATTCGGCACAAAATGTTAGCGTTTGATGTCTGGCTCAATTTCCTGGGTAGTGTGCGGATTTCCAAGCGCCCATATCCTGTTGGTTATGCCTACTGACTTTGCCGTTCAAGTGAAATGTCGCCTCATCACTAAATTTTTTTTTTTAACAGGTTATCATTATCGAGCAAACAGAGGGCCGGACATGGAGTGCCTTTAATGCTGAATGAAATCCTGGAAATGAAAACTACAAACTTTGAAAGATTATTAAAATAAAGTTATATGTTATATCTGTTTGGAGTGTTGTATATATGTGTGCATGCGTGTGCGAGTGCGAGTGTAAATGAGAGTGAGTGTGAGAGTGAGTGTGAGTGTGTGTGTGTGTGTGTGTGTGTGTGTGTGTGTGTGTGGTGTGTGTGTGTGTGTTGTGTGTGTGTGTGTTGTGAGTGTGAATGAGAGTGAGTGAATGTATGTGTATGAGAGTGTGTCTGAGTTTTGTGTGTGTGTGTGTTTTTTGTATATGTGTCTGTGTGCCTCCATCTAACGGAGGCCTGTTAAATATGGCTTACGCTCGCCAAATGGGACTACGCATTACCGACCATTTGCAAGCATGTACGCGAGACACTCCTGCTACTCATGGCCGTTTGATGTGAATATGCACACGGCTTGTTTCCTAAGTGCGGGAGAGAGAGAGAGACAGACAGACAGACAGACAGACAGACAGACAGACAGACAGACATACATACATACATACATACATACATACATACATACATACATACATACATACATACATACATACATATACATACATAAATGCAGAGAGATGACGGCGACAGGTGTTAGAAGTCTGGTGATTATAGAAAATTGTAATAATAATGATAATGATAATGTTAACAACAATAAATGAATAAACAAAAGGTGTCATTTCCCTTTTTTTTGTTGTTGTTGTGGCGCGGTGCCGAGTGCAAAGGGGGGCGTGTTTGGGCAGTCACGAGAGAGAGTGTTGGGAGTACGTGTCCTTGGGGCGTTTTGGGGGAGGGAGGGGGGAAAGGAATGGATAGGCGCGAGGGGGGAAGGGAAGGGATACATGGACAGGAGGGAGGGAAGAGGAGGAGTTGGAAGGAGAGAGGAGGGAAGGAGGGGAAAGAGAAGGGCAGAGAGGGGGAAGTGGATCGGAGGGAGGGAAGAGGAGTAGGAGAAGAGAGAGGGAGGGAAGAAGGGAAAGAGAAGGGCAGAGAGGGAGAAGTGGATAGGAGGGAGGGACGAAGAAGAGTAGAAAGGAATGAGGGAGAATAATTTGTGGGGAAGGAGGATAGAAGGGGGAGCAGATGATAGGTAGCGTTAGAGAGGAGAAGGGGAGTGAATGGGGAGAGGGAGGAGTGGAGTAGACAGGAGGGCAGAAAGTTAAAAGGCCAGTGACACCAACTCTGACACTTGTCGACAACAGAAATTATTTTTTTCTTTTTTTTTTTCTTTTTTTCTTTTATCTTGACTTAAGCCGGTTCGGAGAAAATATTTCCGGACGAAACATTTTTTTTTCTTCATCTTCGTCTTTTGACACATTTCGGAAGCTGGGCAAGACAGAGCGTCAATAAGGCTGACATCTTAAGAAGCGTGCGAGAGGAAGAAAAAGAATCTCTGCACGGGTCCAAGTCGTGGCGAAGGACACGGGCTGGACTGATCGTAGGATATATATATATATATATGTGGCGTGTGCGTGTGCGTGTGCGTTGTATGTGTATGTGTGTTGTATGTATGTATGTATGTATGTATGTATGTGTATGTATGTATGTATATGTATATGTATGTATATTGTATGTATATATGTATATGTATATGTATATATATGTATATGTATGTATATTATATATATATATATATATATCTCCCTTCACTCTCCCGTTCCCACTCTTTCTTCCTTTTTCTCTCTCCCCTTGCCCCGTTCTCCTCTTTCTCCCTATGTCTCCCTCTCCACCGAATGGACGTGGTGTTCAGAGCTGCACGCTTTGGTTAGTGTTAGGTGGAGGTAATGACACACATTCCGTCTTTTATGCATATTGCATCCGTCCTTTAGTCATGCATAAGCGGCGATTAAGTATTTGGGACAGGAAATGCATTCGGAGTCACGAAATACTGCTACTAATGAAGAGAACGTTTTTCTCTTTCTCTATCTATCTCTGTCTCTTTCTTCTCTTGTCTCTTTCTCTCTTTATCACACACACAGTCACAGTCATGCTTCCTAGTGCATGTGACCGCTCTTATCACAATGACCGTCTGGGGGGGGGGGATAGGAAACCCAATAGGGGAAGGGAGGGATGGAGGGGGTGGAAGGAGGGAGGGAGGGAGGGAGGAGGGGCAGTTAATTGTGCCACGGGATCTGGGTATCTTAATGAGTGCCTTCGTTGCCATGCCATCTCCTCCTCTTGGTCGGCCGGGTGGGTGGGTGCCAGCGGACGAGGCCGGGGCTTCGCGACGGCACGGCAGACGCACGCCCAGAGACACGAATGGGAGCGCGGGAGTGACGGATGGGAATGGTGCGGCGAAGGGGGGAGGAGGGGGGGGGTAAGGTAAGGGGAGGAGGAGGAGGGAGGAAGGTAGAGGGGAGGGAGGAGGAGGGAGGGTAAGGTAGAGGGGAAGGAGGAGGAGGGGAGGAAGGTAGGGAGGGAGGAGGAGGGGAGGGGAGGTAGGGAGTAGGTAGAGAGGAGGTGCCATGGGGTTGGTCGGTCTGTTGGTTTGTCGGTCGGTCGGTTGTGGATGAGTCACATAGGGGAAAAGGGGTGTGTTCCGTTTGTTTCTGTTCTCTCTCTCTCTCTTTCGCTCGGACATGGAGTTTTCTCTTATTTGCCAAGGGTACTCAGGCTCTCACTCACTCACTTATTGTCACTCATTCACACTCAACTCACTCACCCATTCACTCATTCACTCACTCTCACCACCTCATTCATTCACACATCACTCTCACTCACCCACCCATTCACTCACCACTCACACTTCACTCCATTCATTCACTCACCCACTTACTCTCCCTCACTCATTCACTCATCACTCATTCACGCACTCGATCCACTGTATGTCCACGAGCTTTACCAATAGGTTAAAGTAGCCGGGGGGGAAAAAAAGTGACGGCGGGGGAGTTGCTAGGGAAGGAACAGGCCCACTGGGGGTTTTAAAATACGGCGAGGTTCATTCATGCTTGTCGGGTTTGGGGGGTTAGGGGGGGGGTTGGGGGTTTTGGGGGGGTTTGGGGGTTCGGGGTTAGGGGGTTATGGGTTTGGTGTTGGGGGTGAGGTTAGGGGTAGGGGGTTGGGGGTTGGGGGGCGATGGTGGAAAAGAAGGAATTTGTGAAAATTGAAGGTGATGAATGAGGTATTTGTGAAAATTGAAGGTGAAAAATGAGGAGTCTGTGAAAGCTGAAGGTGACGGATTAGGAATTCGTGAAGACTGAAGCTGATAGATAAGGAATTGGACAGCTGAAGATGAAGAAAAGGGAATTTGCGAAAAGGCGATAAATGAGTTTTGAAACTAATGCTAAAAATATTGAAAACTGAAGCTGAACAAAAAGGAATTTCAAACTGAAACTGAAAATCTGGTCTATATATCATGGGCGAATGGCCTGTCGAACGATCCTATCGGGAGAAGGAAGAAGGAAGAAGAAGGAAGGAGGAAGGAAGGAAGAAGGAAGAAGGAAAGAAGGAGATATAATCCTCGTCTGGAATGGGATTCAGTGGCTGGGACATTTTTTGGGTGGGTGAGGGAAGGGAGCCGCGTCTGGGGATGGTCTACTGGTTAAAGGGGAGACTGGCTGTCCATATATACGCTCCTCTCTCTCTCTCGCCTTTCTCGCCTTCTTTATTCTGTTCTTTTTTTTTTTTTTTCTCTCTCTTTAGCTTTCTCTTTTTTTCGCTTTTTCACTTTTTCCCGACCTCTCTCTATCTCTCTCTCTCTCTCTCTCTCTCTCTCTCTCTCTCTCTCTCTCTCTCTCTCTCTCTCTCTCTCTCTCTCTCTCTCTCTCTCTCAAGGTCAAGGGGAGACAACGCCCTCCGAAAAAGTTTTTTTTTTTTATACGCAGAGGGAAAGGGAACCGAGATGGAAGCGTCGGGGAGTGATGGTGATCATATCCAGGATGCGGACTCCAGCTGGAAACTACGCTGACTCAGTCGACGCTCTACTCCAGGGGGTAGGGAGGGTTGCATGGGGGAGGGGAGGAGAGGGAGGGAGGGAGGGGAGGGGAGGGGAGGGAGGGAGGGAGAGAGGGGAGGAGGGAGGGAGGGAGAGGGAGAGGGAATGGGAGGGAGGGATGGGAGGGAGGGGTTGCATGGGAGGGAGAGAGGAAGGAGGAGGAGGGAGAGGGAGGGAGGGAGGGAGGAGGGAGGGAGAGGCGAGGGAGGGAGGGAGAGGAGGGAGGGAGGGAGGGAGAGGAAGGGTCAGGGAGGAGGGGTGGATGGGGTGAGAAGGGAATGCGGTTTGCTTTCCTTTTTGTTGTTGTTGTGTTTTATTCTTTTTGTTGCTTTTTGGCGGTTCTTGTTCTATTTGTCTTTGTTCTTGTTAATCCTGTCCTTGCCCTTGTTCTTGTTATCTCTCTTGTTTCCTGTTCGCGGTTCATCTTGCGGTGTTTTGAATTTGATGTGGCTCGGGTAGGATCAATACAACGTTTCGCAATATTTGATAGGGAGATTGTTATATCGCATATCCTTTTTCAGCGGGATATACCTTGGCCTCGATTGATATATCCTTCTCTGGGCTTATCTAGGATGCGAGGGGAATGGCAGAATGGATGAATTGAGGGGATGAGAGGTTGGAAAAAAATGTTTATAAGAGTATAAAGGCGGCGAATGACGGAATAGATATCGGAGAGAGAGAGAGGGGGGGAAGGGGGGAGGTGGAGAGAGAGAGGGAGAGAGAGAGAAGAGGAGGGAGGGAATAGAGAGAAGAGAGGAAGGGATAGAGAGGGAAAGGGAGAGGAGAGAGGGAGAAGGAGAGAGGGAGACAGACAGACAGACAGACAAAAGGCAGAG